CCCGAGATCCCAGGAGGAGAATGGAGGAGAAGGGACTGCGGTGTGATCATCCCCCCTGGGGGGTGATTTCTCGCTTTCTATGTCTCTCTCTGTCTGGCGAGCGCACGCGCCCTACAGTGAAAACCTCTCCAAAAAAAAAAGATTCACAAGTCCATAAAGAGTGTCAAAGAAAAAAAGGAAACTCTATTAGAAACCCTGAAATCCCACCTTTAAAAAAGAAGCATAGGGGGAAAAAAAAAAAAGGAAGCATAGGGACCAGCAGATGGCTGGACTCCCATGTAGTCAACAGCAATTTGAGTCTAGGACCCACCAGCTTAAATCTCATAGGGGGCGCATGTGCATGTGTGCCCAAAAGCCCAGAGGAGCATGGAGGAGAAGGGACTGCAGTATGGCCATCCCCCTAGGGGGCAGTGAATTACCACTTTCTATTTCTCTGTCTCTGTCTCGCTGGTGAGCACACGTGCCCTATAGCAAAAAATCTAAAAAAGAAAAAGGAAAAAGAAAATTACCACAAACCCTAATGAAATAATTGTAAATAAAATAGCAAATAAAGCAATAAACAGTGGACAAAACCATTAGATAGAGTTTAATGAGGAACTTTATAATCGCAGGGCCAGGCTGTTATCACCTGAGTTCAGTATAATCAAAACTGGGACAAGGAACAGATGGTATAAAGGCTATGTCACTGGATTCCCATGTAGTCAATCCTGGTTCAAGTCCCAGACGTGGTGGCTAAAAACTCATGCTGGGTGTGTGTGTGCGTGCATGCCCAGACTCCTAAGAGGAGAATGGAGGAGAAGGGATTGTGATGTGGACATCTCCCCTGGAAGGGTGATTTCTCGCTTTCTGTCTCTCCATCTCTCCAGTGAACACATGTGCCCTCCAGCAAAAATCTCTTTAAAAAAAAGTTTTAAAAAAAGAGGACAGTAAAGCATTGTGTGATGCCAACATACGTTACTTCCTAGCCAGTTTTCTTTCCCTCACAACTGAGTTAAGCAACCTTCTATAGCCAATCTCGATTTATAGAAAAGATATAAGAGAGAAGAACAATTTAAATTATACCAGAAGCGGACCAGCAGTTGGCGTAATGGCTATGTCATTGGACTTCCATGTAGTCCACCATGGTTTGAGTCCTGGACCTGGTGGCTTAAACTCATGCTGGACACGTGTGGGGGTGCCCAGGATCCCTGGAGGGGTCCGACCTGGCAGGGCCCCAGGATCTATCCGAGTCCCCCCACTTCCGGTTGGTTCAGTACATTGGCAAGGCCCCTACTGTGTGCCCTCCCCCCGCCCCGACCTAGGATTTTGCTCCAGAAACTGTGGCAGCCTTGCTGGGAAGCGACCCCCCTCTGACCCCCCAATATACTACTATAAAAGAATTACATAGCTCTCTTATACATCCTGAGCATACGATAAAATCTTCCAGGAATTCCCCCGACCGCTCCCCTTTGCTCTGATCACTTACTATTAATTACAATGCTTTATCTCCATGGTCACAATAGAGGGTGGGCTGAAGTTCTTTCTAGGTAGAAATAATTTTGACCTTTGGAAGGCCCTTCAAAATACATTTAAGGTAAACTTAATCCTTTCTTTACGTAAAATAGGATTAGGCCAAAACTGGCCCAGGACACCTCCGCCCTCACCAAGTGAAATAAATAAATATATTAGGATTCCTCAAATTAAGTTTTAGATCCCTACAAAACTGTATAAGCATCATTCTTTATTAAGATCCATAAGAACTAATATCTATTCTTAAGATTTTCTTTTCTCAGCACCATTCCCAGTAATCACAAGATGGCTGCTGTGCCGCATCAGCTGATGATCTTTTCGGCTTACAGGTAACGCTTTCCTGAAACTGCGTTCCATGGAGACCCACCTACAATTGTGGAACTGCACTAGACCCACCCTCAATCCAACCCTGAATTGCACTAGATCCACCCTTAATCCAACCCTGAATAGAATCTATGTTCTCTATTGTTAAAAACTTTATGAGCTGTTAATTAAAACACTAGCCCCTCTCCCTTTACTTGCATGTATCACATTTTCAATAAAAACACACAATGATTCCTAACAGCTGTCACTCCTCAGAGAGCAATCTCTGAGGGGTGTCCGACAAAGGACATGCATGAAAAGGCATCAAGACCTTTGTCTTCTATTCACCTTCACTGCCTCCATCAAGATAACCCACCCCGCCGGAGGCTAGTCTCCAGGCAGATCCCGAGAAGAGAATGGAGGAGAAGGGATAACACCAGAACCAAGCAGTGAAATCCACAAATTGGGACATTCTATAGGACAACCTCACTGAGTTTTCTACAAGTCAATGTCAGGGAAAGATTTAAAGGATGAGGGAACTATTCTAGAATATAAGAGACTTAAAAGCCATACAAAGAAATTTCATGTATAGATTCTGTATGTATTTTGAGTTGGACAAAACAACTGTAAAACAATGTATTTTAGACAATCAGGGAAATTTTATTGTGGACTACATATTATTAAATAATACCAGGACCAGCCAATTTTGTCAGTTACAAAATGGCACTGTGGTTATGTAAGAAACAGGTCTACTTTTTTAGAGCTGTATTCTGAGATACATAGAGTGACATATGTATCATCTGAGTTAAAATGGTGCAGCAGAAGAAAACAAAGGGACACAGAGCAAATATTGCAGGATCTTGATAATTGTTGAACCTATGTAGTGGGATATGGGAATTCACTATCCTATTCCCTTCCCTTTTGAAAAGGTCTGAATATTTTCATAATAACAAATTTAAAAGAGATTTTCAGAAAGATAATATATAGAAGAGTGAAAACGTGAAGAGTAAAGGAATAAATATTAGCTCTTTTTCCCAGTAGCACAGATGTAAGACATGTGGGTGGAAGCAAAAATCCCTTCAGTGTTTTATTAAAAACGCTCTTTGGGGACTCGTTCATTTAAGGAATCACCCAAATTGCCTTCAGAGCATGATATGTAGGCCACGCCCCCACCAGGGATCTGACTCTAGAGTGTGCAAGAAAAAAACTCCAATAGGCAACTTAGTCACAGAAACTCGGCAAGTTCAAATATTTGGGAAGGTTTAGCTGTTTTCTTTTTAGAAGCAGGGAATTATTTTCGGTCTATTAAAAAGAAAATCCTCCAGGAGGCCATTCTGTGGGACGAGAATTATCTGTGCTAGTCAAACTAAACCAAAACAAGACTTTCTTTGCCAATAGTCCCTGAGAGCAGCGTTTGGGGAGGCAATAATTAGGTAATTAGACCCGGGTGCCTGGAGTTCCACCCGGCCATGAATGACTCCGGCTCCTCGGCCAGGAGGTGGACCTGGAACTTTTCCGAGCTCAGTTCCCCTATTCCTCCCACCTCCGCGGCTCCAGTGGCGCACACTTCCTGCCCCCCACGCCCGCGGGGGCCGTGCGGAGCTGCGACTGGTGGAGGGACACTCCGCCTCTCCGGCTCCAGGACTGGGTGAGGACTCTTCGCCGTTGTCACAAACTACCCGCGCCTCAAGGTATCACATGTCGCATCTCAGGCCAGAAAACTTCGGTACCCGAGGTATCCAGCACTCCGAGATAGAGCAGGGTCACAGTTCCCCAGAGGCGACTAGCTCCCAGGGGCTTGTTGGGCTCCAGCCTTGCGCCCGCCGAGTGCCTCTTGCATCGTTGTCGCTTAGTTCACAGGAGTCTTGTTCCCCAGCGAAAACCTGGGCTTGTGGAGAGGTAACAGAACTTAAGGTACGACCCACCAGCCAGCTACGGCTAGCTTTTGATGCATTTCCTTTCCCTGCTTTCTGTAGACGGGTGAGATTTTACATATGCTACTGCAATTACAGATACTTTCCATCGTCACCGAGCACTTGCTGTCTTCGCATAGCCTGACATCTTTCCGGCTGGCAGACCGCCAGAGGAGTGCCCGGCCCCACATTTTCTTTAAGCCAGTCCCTCACTCTTGGGCACTGGGTAACTGTTTTCCTTTATTGACCCGCACAAGCATAATGTTGGATCCGAGTCGCCGACCGCCCCCCTCCAGCTCACAGTGCACTGCCCCATGCCTGGGGGGCACGGCTCCCCAGTCAGCAGCCCAGAGGCCCACGGTACCCTCTGGGTTCTGTGACGTCGGCTGAGGTCCCGCCCCCTCTGGCGAAGCCAATCGAAGAGCCGGACAGACTGGCTCCGCCCCCCG